GACCCCTAACAAAAAGAACTAAAAGAACTAATCTTCAAATAATCTCCAACTTAAACAATATTTGACCCGACGAAAAGATATTTAAAGAAATTTCGATAATAAAAACTTTTAGTCAAAAAAATTAAAAATAATTAATTGGTAGGTACTTACCAAATTCCTTGATGAGTTCTGGTTAAATCGTATTATCCTTGGTTGTCTTATTTCTTGTCTTATTTGTCTTATTGTCTTATTCTTGGGTGTCTTGGTTGTCTTATTTCTTATTATCCATGGGTTAATGCTATAACATGTTGAACCTAGAAAAAAATACAATTAGACGATTTAAGGGCTGCAACTTTTATGTTTTTATTTTTTTAAATATCAAAAAAAATCGTAGTAATATTTGAGATAATAGATGCGTTAGAATTCTAATAATACGTATATACATAGGTACCTAGCAATTTGTAGATGTAGATCAAAGTAATAAATGAGCATGTTTGTCGTATCAAAGCCAAATTACAACTAAATGGTTCATTACGTTGTAGGGATTATAATTATTTTTAAGCAGCAAAAACAAAAAAAGTGTGAGTCAGACTTGCGCGATAAACATATTACGTTAAGGGTGACAAATTTTAATTATAGATTTATTTGTTATATATTATTTTATTAATACTCAAATAATCTAATTTCGATTGTACAGTTTCCCAAAAATTACGCACCATTTTGAGTTATTAGGGTTTAAAAATTTAATTTCATTTGTGTTATTTTCTAAAGACGTTTTAAAAATAAAAACTAAATAAGAATCATTTTTATACGTATACTTTTTATACTTATTGCAACCATGGTTGATATTTTTGTTGAAAATATTTAACACAAAAATTATAGATACAGACTGTATCATACAGTGTGACCCATTTGTTTGCGACTCACCCCTGTAAAATCTTTATTTATTGTGCGATTTTAACCGGATTTGTTTAAAAGTGTAGATCTTGATAAACTGTATTTTTGGAGCAAAAAACGCCATATTTGTACAAAATAAAAGGCCTACTATGTCAGTTTTTGAGAGTAAATTTTTAAGAATTCATATTAGTGATTAGTGGTTAAAATCAAAGGCGATTTTATAAATAAAAGTATACTAAACAAGTTTAAAGAAATTTAGTTAAAAAAACTAAAAAATTAGCGAATAAATAGGTACCTACTTTTATTTTAGTCAAAAAATTTAAAAATAATAAATTGGTACTTTCCAAATTTATTGATGAGTTCTGGTTAAATCCCATTATATGGTTGTCTTATTTCTTAATATCCATTGCCTTAATAGCTTTAACATGTTGGTCCTAGAAAAAAAATACAATTAGACCATTTAAGGACTGCAACTTTTGTTTTTTATTTTTTTTAAATATCAAAAATATTTATAGTATTATTTGACCTAATAGATGCGTTAGAATTCTAATAATACCTAGCAATTTGTTGATGTAGATAAAAGTAATAAATGAGCATGTTCGTCCCATAAAAGCCAAGTTACAACTGAACGCTTGATTACGTTGTAGGGATTATAATTATTTCTTATTAAAAAAAAAACAACCAAAAAAGAGGGTGAGTCAGACCTGCGCGATAAACATATTACGTTAAGCGTGACGAGTTTCTTAATTATATTTTTGTTTTTTTATTGTATTAATAATCAAATAATGTAATTTCGATTATATATAACTATAGTTTCCAAATATTACGCACCATTTTGAGTAATTAGGGTTTAAAAATTGTGTTATTTTCTAAAGACGTTTTGAAAATAAAATCTTAATTATGAAACTGTTTTATCCTTATCGGTTGATATTTTTGTTGAAAATATTTAAAACAAAAATTATAGATATTAAACTAAAAATTACAAAAATCTAAACAAAATTTTGACCTACGACCCCTTACAAAAACGAACTGATCTTTAAAAAAGAACAAGTTTCATCTCAATTTAAATTCAATGAATTATATATATTGATATTTTGATTTTAAACAACAAAAAACTATTTAAATTTTCTAAAAGTTAAAATCAAAGGCGATTTTATAAATAAAAGTGGACTAAACAAGTTTGAAGAAATTTAGTCAAAAAAACTTAAAAATTAGCGAATATTTATTTTAAAAATGATTCTATTAAGTTTATATTACAGGAAAATCAGTGTTTTAAAGAAATAAATGAGATTCTATTAGAATCGCTCAATTGACAGGTTTAGACCAACAAATTATAAATGTTAATTGTATCGAGCGCAAGAAGATTTTTCATAAAAAGGTTAAAGTCACCCGCGGGGTGATATTATTTATTAAATTATTAAAAATTGGTAAATGCAAAAAACTTAACACTAAAAAATTTTGTTGTTTGCCCAAAATAGACTTTTTCCGCTTAAGGGCCCCTACCAGATTTTTGAAACGGGGCCCCCTCGAGGCTAGCTACGCCACTGAATATTACACAACACCATGGGCAAATTGACGTTTAGTTAAAATAATGTTAAAAAATAAATATGTTTTTTAATCATACATATATCATATATTAAAGAATTTGTACATACGTTTTCAATTAAGAAAATGGCTGAATGTTAAACTGTAGGGAAAATTGATCTCTTTCTCCACAGATGAATTACTTCACTTGCCTCCGGCTCGTTCGCAATATTTCATCCTGATGGAAATAGCCAACTTTCCCAATCGTTGAACAATAAACTATAACACTCGAATAATTTTATTTAAATTTTAAAATAACTGGACAATAATAATAATAATATTAAAATCGTTATCACTTACCATCAAAATTTGAGTTTTGTTTGCTTTACTTTCTATATAATCATATTATCTTGTTAAGCCAATTTTTGGATTCTTTATTAGCCAAAACGTTAGTGGAGTTACACAACCATCAATTAAGTACTGCGAACTTTAGAGACATCTATTATTATTATACTAATATAAATTATGTTTGTAATTTTAATCTTTATTCAGCATCTCTTGGAAGTAGTTTACAACCAAAAAAATCATTTTGCAATTTTTTTGTAAATAGTAAAATAAACTTAAAGATCGAGTCAATATATTTCAAAATGTTTGTTAATAAATTTCTAAAATTGGTTACTAGCAAAAAAAATCTTTGATTGACCTCCGTTTTTGGGTGCCCTGCCCATTCAGCTTCAGCAACAATAATATGCATCAATCAAAGTTTAACTGACTTTGGCGTTTGTAACATATTGTTCTGTCTACTTTATTTGGATTTGTAACGTGTTCGTAACAACTGGAGTGTTCATAATATATTACCAGAAATCTCTTATTATTATTATTATTATTATTATTCGGATTCCTTATACCTATTTAACGAGTGTGCGAAGTATTCGAAAAAAAAGCCAACGCTGGTTTTCAAACTGAAATTAGGGGATTCAGTGAAGTGGGTTAAAGTAACGAAATACATTAGTAAGTATTGTAGTAGTACTGATAGTAATATTGTACCAAAAATTAATAATTCGATAATTTCAGAATGGTGAGTTATTTAATTGTGTATATGTTATTTTTGTGTTTATTTATGTAGGTATTTGTTAATTTTTTTTAGGAAATTGATTAATTATGCAGCATTTCTTATCAAAATTTCTTTTACTTAAGTTTCCAATTTCCACCAAATACTTTTGTTACCAAAGGTTTGTAAAAATTATGGTTGAATTATTGAATTTTGTTATTAAATCTACAAAATGTCTGTAATAATTACAAACTACTTATTTAATTAGTTAATAGATTACAGTTGCTTATAAACTTAGAAAGTTTGGTAGACCTCGATTAACATAAAATCTGGTTATTTTTTGGTAAAAATTAACGAATATTTTTTACTGTGTAAGTATTGTGTTACAAAAAAAGTGAAATATAAAAAATCCTGACTAGTGGAAAAGGTTTTCAAGTTCGGACCCCTTCTTAAAATAATAAATAACAAAATTTGACATTTATTTATATAATTATTCTTCAAATCCTGGATCCTTCCCTTATCCTACATATGCAGGGTGTTTCCTAAGTATGAGGAACGTACTTCAGGACACAATTCCTTAAGATATTTTAATAGAAAAAGTTTACATAAACATGTCAAAAATTATTTCCTTATTGTTAATTTTTTGAATATCTTCCACATAAATTGTAAAACTAACAAAATTTGTTACACAGGGTTTTTGATAGAGCTAAATTAAAAATAGTATACCAAGTGTTTGTTTTACAAATACTATTTGATTTCTTGGTCACAATTTAAAAAAAAAATATTTTTTTTAAACAACATGTTAAGTTGATAAAATGCTTGGCGTAAGTAATATCATAAGGGCATTTAATTTTTCCGAAAAGAATCGAAAAAACACGTTGCTAAGTAATATTTTAACAAAACGCATGAGTGCTGGTGGCAACAAAAATCCGAGTCGAAGAGGAGGATTTTTGCACCTGCACGAATGCTTTTTGTTAAAAAATATTACTTAGCATTGTGTTTTTTCGATTTTTTTCACAGGAAAAATTAGATGCCCGAATGGTATTTGACAAGACTATTTCATGAGTAACAGTTAACAATTAAAATATAAATTGCAATTTTTGGTGACAACAGCTGTCAAGTTTTGCCGCGGGTAAACTCGAATAAACTGCTGACAGGTGCTGTCACACAGTTTTTTCACCTAGAAACTATTTGTAATTCAAAATTGCGCGTTTGTGATTGGTGGAAATTAAGACGAGGGAAATAGTCGATTAAAATGCCTTTAAGCTTGATGCCAGACAGAATTTTAAGAAATTTAAGTAAACGTGTGATAATTTTTACACCCTCTATCTCAGTGAAAAAGCATTTAAGGATATATGTTTACTTGAGCGTTTTTTCTTAAAATATGATACGGAGTTGCGGCCCTTGGGGCCAGGTTTCACAAAAATGTCTATTTGGATTTATTTGGGCTGGAATTGATTGTTTCACTTTGTAATGCAAGTCGATAAGGTATTAATATTTTAACTCCTTTTTTATTAAATATATTAAAAACATATAAAAACCAATGAAGCTTAAACATTGCGATAACCTTTTATTAAAAATGTTTAGTTTAGTTAAATTTTTATTATACTTGTAAAAACGTAAAGGTTTTATTAAAAATGTAAGTTTTTATAATCATAATTTCACACGTGTATATTTTCTGTAAATATGTTATTTTAGAAAAATGGCAAGAGTATTACTTAAACCATATCTTTTAGGTTTTTTTGCATTTTTATTACTACTCCTCCTCATATACACTTTTTCGGTTCAATCAAGCTTATGCATTTGTAGGAAGAAATGGTTGGAGAAAAAACACGATGAAAAAATATTAAACCTAAATTTTTATTATAAAATACTTAATTTGGTTTGTGAAGCTAAAACGCCTGATTTTATAGTAATAATAGCAAGTTCCGCAGTAAATTTCGATAACAGACGAGTAATTAGAAACACCTGGGCTAGAAATCAGTCGATACCGATAATTTTTGCTTTGGCCAGCGTAATCGACGAAAATATACAACGAAAAATCGAGGCTGAAAACAGGAAATATTCAGACATAATCCAGGGAAATTTTATAGATAAATACAGAAACTTAACCTACAAACACCTAATGATATTAAAGTACGTCAAAGACTACTGCCCCAAAACGAAATTCTTGCTAAAACTCGATGATGATGTTTTCGTAAATATGCCGCAAATGTTGAATTTCATTCAAAACGACCTTCAGCCGACATTTACCCATAATGTGATCATATGTGACCCCTATGTGAACTCTCCTGTGAAAAGAACCAACTCAAAATGGTCAGTGACGTATCAAGAGTTCCCTTCATATCAATACCCAACCTTCTGTCCTGGATGGAGGATTATATACTCCATGGATATGGTGGAATATCTCATCAACCAAGCGAAAAACAAAAACGTTAAGTTTTTTTGGATTGACGATGTGTTTGTTAGTGGAGTTTTGGCCTCGCATTTAAAGGATGTACACAAAAACATTACTTCGCTGACAATGCAACATTACGTGGTTGATAGTGTACTAGAGAATAAAACAAGCTATACACCATTTTTGGTTGCTTCCGCATTTTTAAATCCCAAACAATATGGGCCACTTTTAGAGGTAGTTTTAAAAAATCACCCTGTACAGTCTTTTAAATACAAGTTAAAATGGTTAAATTAAAAATTTTAAAATAGGTAAAAATTTGTATTGATGTTTTAAACCAGGTCTACCAAAACTAAAGAACAATATTAGCATAAATATTAATTAAATTTAATCGGCTTTTTGGAAGACTGTTATTGCAAACTGGGCATCTCTTCTTCTTCTGCTACATATAAATAATGGAACGAGATTAAGCCAGCTGAATAACTGCAGTCCATGGACATCTCTAATTTGCGCTACTCAACGAAATTTGTCTGACATACAAAATGGTATAAATAGAAAATCAAAAAAATAAAGTACAATATCATTTACCTACCTAATTTGTTTAATTAAATAATACATACAGTATCTTTGTGATAGTTTTATTTTAATGTTCTTGTATTTCTACATCAAGGAATTTGTGGTATGTTGAATGGTGGTATCTAAAATTTGATTAGTATGCTTAATGAGAAGACTTTTACCATTTTCTCCAATTAAAAAGTTAATAAAAACAGTTTTAGTTTGATTTAACATAATCTTGTTACCTGTAAACCAATTGTTGATGGTCTGCACAGCAAAGGTTGTTTGTGTTTGGAGCTGTTCTTCTATTTCGGATCTACTGTCCACTTTAAAAACCCTGTTAGGTCATTGAAATTAATTTAAAAACAATATAGGGCCCAAGACCGACCCTTGTGGTACTCTTAAATTACTATATGATCTTGCTCCATTAGTAACAACTAAATAGTTCTGGCTTGCTCAGATCCAAAATGACTCTCAAGCTATTGTTTCGCTTATTTAGGGTTTTATATACTAAAGCCAAATGTCCTTGGTGTAAAGACATTTGATTTAACAAAAAAATAATCTAGAATTTTTGGGAACGTAGATATTACTGATATTGGGCGATAGTTTACTATAATGTACTTTTTGAAATTGGTTTAATTTTAGAGATTTTTAAAGATAAGAAATATTATGCAATCTAAAAGGACAAGTTAAACAGATAAGCCACAGCATTTGGGATATGTTTTAGTAAAGTTGAACTTACCTCATTTACATAATCTTATGCATATGTAAATTTAAATTTAAATTGACGACCATATTCAATTAGAAGCTAAGATAAATCATTTAAAATAATATATTCCATGAATTTGTTATTTAAATTAAAATTTTAGTTTCATATCTGGTAGGGTCATGTTACGTCAGATCAAACACTGCAGTTCCCCACACCTCAAATTTTGTGTAGAATAACAAAAAATCTTAGTTTTGAAGGTTCCACCATAAATAATTACCGATAAATTAGTAATTGTTATTTTTTAATATTATTTAATGTTTCGCACGATGTGCATTTCTTAACTCCATGAATAACTCCGCATCTAGGTTATTAAAGTACAAGTATAATTCAATTTTTTTCATCATGTTTGATCAGGACCACATTTTTTAAGCTTTTAATATGCTGTAAAGATGGTATACCACTACTTCCAGAAAAAATCTTGTGTACTACTACTACTACCACTTCCATTGGAAGTCTTCCAAGTACTTCCATATACTTAAGTGATGTAGTTTGTTTGCCGTTAATATTCATAATCCACTTTAAAATGGTGTCAAAAGTGGTCATAACGTTTCAGACACCAGATACACCAAGAAGTTATAAAACTATGAAGTATATTCTTCTGTTGCAAATCACATGATTACAACTATGCTAATATAATATAAAGATATTTTAACTGTATCGTGGTAGATTTAGTTATTTTAACTTAATTGTCCCTCATTTGAAGTTGTGATATTAGTTTTCGTCACTATAATGTTACTTAGGTTAAGCAGAAAGTATGGTGAGGATTGGGATAAAATCAGTGTGAAATTACTCTATTATTATAGAGATTAATCACTAAAAACAACCATAGGGCCATTTCAGTCGCGCGAAACGCACCACGGTGTGGTTTAAAAAAGTTAGATGTAAAGTTCGAGAACCCCAAATTTATAAACGGGGAATGATTCTACATGGTTTTAATGAATAATTAATGAAAAAATTAAAATATTTCCCTGAGCGCATTTTTTTTTTTCACCTTATTAAATATAAGAACATTATTTAAGAGGTTAGATACACTAACTACGTCAAAAAAAGAGCAATGTTTACGTTTTTTTTTCAAAGACTGGTTTATTTATTTTGAAATAAATTATTTTGACAGTTATTTTGACTTATTTCAAAAAGTTAGGTAATCCCAGGCGCCTGTTTTCTCTTGATTTTAGTGTGTCTTTAGACTCAGTACTATTAACATCAAAAGCGAGCTATTTATTAAAATTTAATAATATTTAAAAAATGAAACCAATAAATTTCATAAGCAACCACACAGTGAGAGTCTTTTAAAATTATGTCTATTATCTAAAACGAAGAAGAAAGTTCTTTTCAAAATAACGGATACCTTAGAAAAATTGATACTTTTGATATAATATATATTATGTTATATTTAATTCAGTTTAGACCTTTTTTGAAATAAAATATTTTTTTATAAAAAAAGGAAACAGATTTTATTTTATAAAAATAAACAATTTTGTGTTTAAACTATATCTAAGTTAGATATACACATTATAACTAATTAAAGGTGTCTACTATTGTATTCACATACAGCTTTAAGTAATTTTTCTGCATATTGAGGATGCGATTTTTTTACTTTGTATTTATTCCATATTTTATTAAAGTCTGAGTGAGATGATTCCACCGCTTGTTCTGAATAAAACCCTAACCTTTTGTCGTTTTGTTTATAAAAATCTTCCATCTGGAAAAATACTGTGTGAACCTTTAGCGTTACGTTTAGGTCTAAACTCATATAACTTTCTCTTAATATCGCAATCTTCTCAAGATATCCTTCTTTTAATTTGATTGAGAAACAGGAATCGTTAACGTTCTTGAATGATTAGAAACATTTTACATATTTCATACAAGAAAAGTTACTTGTTGACGAGAAAATTTCACGTAGAATGTCAACATTGTTCAATAATATTTTACTCGAATTTCCAACAAAACCTGCATTTCCGTAAAGTATTTCTCGACTTACATTACACTTTTTGGCCCACAGGTTACAAATATTTTCAAACTTCTTATGCATATTATCAAATATTGTATTAACAAATGTAACTCGGGCGGTGGAATTAAATCGATGATTTTTTTTCTTTATTTGATGAAATTAAAGGTAAATTTAAACAATTTTTAACGTCTTTACAATTCTGTTTCTCTCCTCCACTTTTTTTCCAAGCTTCAAAATTTTGAATACAATTCCCTATAGTTCTTAAAGTACCAAAAACGATCAAGTTATTTTTGTGTGCGGTACACCAAACACATGGATACATGCTGCTGTGAGACATTAGACCAATCAATATATTTAATAATTTCAAATCATTATGTACTTTGAATAATCTGGCATTACAATAGTATATGCATTACAATATTTTTCTTTTATATAGATATAGAAAGCTATAGCTTTCTTTTACAATTTGCACAGAGTGCCTTTGGTAACCGTTCATCATTACTATTGTATGTAATATATTTATTTATTACTTTTTCTAAAGAATCGGTTATTTCGAAAAGAACTTTTTTCTTCGTTTTACAAAATAAACATAACTTTATACGACACTCACTATGTGAAAGCACTTGCTTACGAGTTAAATTTATTGATTTCATTATTTAAATTTTATTAAACTTTAATAAATAACTAACTTTTGACGTCTCAAAACACACTTAAGTCGAGAGAAAACAGGCGCCTGTGATTATTGTAACTTTTTGAAATACGTCAAAACAGCTGTCAAATATTTATTTCAAAATGAATAAACCAGTCTTTGAAACAAAAAACGTAAAAATTGCTCTTTTGGCGTAGTGAGTGTATCTAACCCCTTAAATAATGTTCTTATATTTAATAAGGCGAAAAAAAAAATGCGCTCAGGGAAGTATTTTAATTTTTTCATTAATTATTTATTGAAACGATGTAGAATCATTCCCTGTTTATAACTTTGGGGTTCTCGAACTTTACATCTAACTTTTTTAAACCACACCGTGGCACGAATTACAAAACAGTTTTTATAAAAAAAAATTGTAGATAATTTATAATATAATCTTTTGGCATCAAAATTGTCAAAAATATTCTTCTTTTATTAGGCTATATATATAAAAGTAGAGATAATTGTAATAATTGAAAGGTGTGGGCGAAAAAAAAAAAAAAGATTTATCTTGTCCCGTCCACACCTGTCAATTATTAAAATTATCTCTACTTGTATAAAATATTTCTTGTGTTTTTTTTTTAATTTAATTTATAGCCTAATAAAGGAAGAATATTTTTGACAATTTTGATTCCAAAATATTATAAAATAAATTACCTAGCATTTTTTTTATAAATAGTATATTACACTACAAGGGCAGAAAGTGTGAGATTCCTGCACTGCGCGCCATGATGCCCGAGACGAAGCCGAGGGCATCATGGCGCGCAGTTCAGGGCTCTTACACTTTCTGCCCGTGTAGTGTATACTATTTTTCTTACTACCTCGGCCGAAAATACAACCCGGCCGAAAATACGGGAAAAAATTAAATGTGTATTTATGTACCTATCTCCATTTGAAGAGCTTGATAAATAAATAACAGTAGGCCGTGAATTCAGCGGTGCCAATACAGTAAAAATAAAAGGTTGTATTTTAATTAACAAATTACTACTTTATAACAAATAAAAGTACCATTAAACACTTAAAACAACATAAAAAGTAAAAATGTAAAAACATAAATTGTTTATTTGTTCTTATAATTGCAAAATTATGGTTTAAAACTGTAATTATTGTGTTTCTCATGTTGGCAGTACGAAATTTGAATGTTAAGGCTTAACATTCAAATTTCGTTAACAGTTAAGCACACGACTAAAAAATTTTTACTCCCGCTATTAGAGTGTGCGCGTATAGCTTGACCAATGCATAAAACGTAAACTTTCTGCCGTGGAATCGGGGACGAAACAACGTATTTTGAGTCGAGGTAGTAAGAAAAACACTTTTGTGATTTGTTCCGTCCGCATACCTGAAATGGCGTCATTCTGTTAAAAAAAAATAAAACCATAACCAGCGTATAAAGTATAAAGATCCTAAATTAATTTTTATAATTTAATATCCGCCCCTATAATATGTACTTTTTCTCGACTTTTAAACGAATTTAATACTTTAAAAAATATTGAACATAACCTAGAAACCATTCTAGAAACATGTGTTGGATTAATTCGTATTCCTTGACAAATCTGTTATAACATCGTGACGTCACGATCTCTCTTCAAGGTCTTTGAAGCGATTTTGAATCTTGCAGTTTTAAAATGCTGTGTAGTTCTCAAAAATTGTTTTAAAATCGTAGAAAAAAGAACAAACTCGTATGCGTATATTTAAAGTATGCATTTTGCATGTCACAACCCCATTGCAAGGAGCTCTGTAAATGGGTCTCTGGGTTGAGTGGATTGAAACACTGAATTAATTTTTTTGGAGATACACAAAATCCCAAGTTTACAGCAACAATCACACGACTCTTCATGTCCATGAATTATGGACATTTTCATTTGCATACAAATGTAATTGAAGGGGTCAATGCAAGAAGTGCCTAAGTCACATTTTCAATTAAATTGTTATTGTGGCTTCACGTAAGTTAAAAACCAGGCAAACTCCAATTGAAGTAAATGCAAACTAAGGCACTTGGGCACATATTTCTGCCACTTTGAAAATACCACTGAAACCTTACGTGAAACCCTCTTAGATGAAGCCACAATGTAAATTTAATTAAAAATGTGACTTAGGCACTTCTTGCATTGACCCCTTTAATTAATTACATAAAATATGCTCGTAAATATAATCAGTAAGTATTGCATTTTTGCCTTATAATGTAAATATTTGTTTTATTGATGGTTTTCAAATAAAGAGATTACAAATTTATATCGCCCTATCGGTCTAATCATAACCATTTTGATTTCAATAGTCTATTTATTAATGGCATAATATAATACAAAAACAGTTAGGTAGTAAGGCTTCTCAATGTTACTGTTACTATTTAAATAATTAAAAAGTAAATTATGAAAAAAGTTAATAAGTTTATCGTGTTATACACTATTATTTTTATGTTGGTATTTATATTGATATATTACCATATCCTTGATTTCAAAAATAATATTAATAATAATATTATGTATAAATATTCAATTTTCGCACGTAAAAAATCCTCAATAAGAAATAATGGCAGCAAATTAATAGACATCGATTTTCATTACAACATATTTAATTTGGCATGCAAGGATGACCATCCAGAGTTTGTGATCTTTGTGTCAAGTTCTACATTGAATTTTAAGAAGAGAGAAGCAATTAGAAGCACGTGGGGTAATAACCAGTCTTCACCCATATTGTTTGCACTGGGAAGTGTTCAAAACAAGACAATACAAAGTCAAATCAACGCTGAAAATGAAAGGTACTCGGACATAATTCAGGGGAGCTTCGAGGACACTTACAGAAATCTGAGCTACAAACAAGTTATGATGCTTAAGTATGTAAATAAATACTGTTCAGATTCAATGTATTTAGTGAAAATGGACGATGATGTATTTGTGAATATGCAACAGTTAACAAACTTTATTCACAATGATTTAAGTCCAAATTACAAATTTAATTTAATCATGGGAGATGTTTATATAGATGCACCTGTTATTAGAGAACCATCAACATGGAAAGTGACCCCAGAAGAATTTTCACCAAACGTGTATCCAACTTACTGTCCTGGATATCGAATAATATATTCTATGGATATTGTGCAGTATCTTCATAGACAATCGCAAAATCCAGCTGTTAAATTTTTTTGGGTTGATGATGTTTTTGTCAGTGGGATTTTGGCTTCTAAATTGAAAGACGTTCATAAGGACATAGGGCCTTTAACGGCGACTCATACAAGGGTCAAACAATATTTAAATGGTTCAGCAAAATATGATTGTTTTGTGTTTAGTTCTTTCAGTTTCGATATAAATAAAAATGGACAAATGATGGAGTTTTTACGTAATCAAACTCCTTGTTTTTCTGTTTCAAATCGTTTAATTTGGATGAATAAATAATTTTGTTTCATGGTTGTTGAATTTTTATCAAACATTTAATATTGATTCAAAAAAGTTAAAATTAATCGAGATGATATTTGGAGAACGCTCTTACACTAACAAATTTTTATAGAAGACTAACAAAATATTTGTGTTATTGCACCATCCTAATTTACGGATAATAATCCATTAGCCATTAACAATTGTTCTGAAATTATTCTGATTATAATCAATTGTTGCACATAATATTGTCAAAAATTATAAAATATATTTGCTTATAAGATAAAACATTAATTTCCAAGGAAACCATTGTTAAAACATTATGTACATTAGACCTAATTTACAGTTTGTCGACGTATGTTACAGTATGAAATAATATAGAAACGCTAGAATTTTTTAAACGATTTTCTAGGATTCCTCGTGTTGCGCAACTTTCGGGACACTCTGTATAGATATAATTTTATGTATTGTATCGATTTTTAAAACAGTAGATAAAAAAATAATCTAACTTTTTGTTCACATACGCGCTCTTTTTTATTAGAATCAGGTGAGGGTACAGTTGTTAAATGATTTTTTATATGGGCTTCAATCAAAAATAACCTTTCGACGAGGAAAATGACAGGTTTCTACTTTTTTTATTAGCAAAACCACAATTGTGGTAAAAACTAAAACTACTCTTTTGATTTAACATAGGATAGTGTATATCCCAGCGTTTAAGTGCCAAAGTAAACACGAACAAAATAATACATAATAAAACAAAATCAATAAATATCGCACACATGTGAGACTCACATTGTGAGTGGCTCATAATAATGGGTAAGTAAACTAAATTATTAAAACCCCTTTTTGGTACTGGCTTCCTTATGTTTTCAAGTCTGGTTTTGCAGCCAAACATATAACACAGCAACAGCAGCAGCAGCAATTATTATTTTTTTATATTTGGTAAGTAAAAATATATTAAAATTAAGTGCCAGTAGGTATCTAGAATACCCAAATTGCATGTTTTAACTGAGTTGTCTAACTTTTGCAAAAATAAATTATTCTTAATTATTTGTAGTTTAATTTGGCGTATTAATCTAAAGATAAAATAGTAACATACATGTTTCAATGACACTACACTGTTTAAAATATCTGTGGTGTAAAAGGTAATCTTAAAATGGTGTCAAAATCCAACACCAAGTGGTGTTAATATAACACCATGAATTATAGTTGAAAATGTGTACCGATCGCGGCAAAGGCGGTGTGGATCACGTGATGTTCTTAAATCTCGCCTCTGTTGACTTACATAAAGAATATATAAACTCAGGTACCTAATCCTTTGCTTTGGTGTGACACTACAAGTTGTTCGATACTAAAGAGACCTTAAATATGTGGAAACAGCTGTCAATACTTGAAGTATTTTAAGTTAGTGCAACGCACTAAAAACATTATCTCTAGCGAGTTGAAGGTTCAATTTTCTGGAATAATACCACTGGTAATATACTAGTAATGCGTCAAGAAACTTCCTGTTGCCTTTTTTTCCCTTTTTTTGTGTAGTATGATTTAATTTGTCCACAAACACATAATATTTAACACTGAAAAGGAGTTCAATTTACACCAAGTAAAATTTATTTTAATACTGTGTGAAAGTTAAATTAACACCATTTTAGTATTTGAATTTACACCGGACCAACAAACCTTATTTAACACAATTTTGGTTTGTATCGATATAGACCATGTGACCATGGTGTTAATTTGGTGTTAAAATGGTCATGAAATTTTGAACACTGTAAGGGTCGGTTTATCAATCTTTGGTTAAGTTTAAGTTAGTCTATCTGAAAGTTAAATTCTATGTCGATCCTTGTGAAAACATGAAAATTATCTGCCAGGTAACTAACTTCATCTTAAACTAGACATTCATAAACCGACCCTAAGTGATCCTCTAAATACACTTTGACAATCTGAGGCTTTATGTCGTTTAAACCACAGGTATCCGTCACTAAAACAGATATCGGATTCATCTGTAATTCTTGACTAATCTGTGACATCACTAAACAACGTGACGTCACGATCTCTCTTCAAGTTCATCGAAGCGTTTTGAATTTTGCTGTTTTCAAAACGCTGTGGCGTTCTTTGAAATTGTTGGAAAAACAAAGTGGTATGCGTAGATTCCAAATATGCAATAAAAATAATTCCATATCACAACCCTATTGCAAGATATGGCTCTTTAAATAGGTCGTAAAAGGTCATAAGTCGAATCTCTGAAATAAATATTAATAAAATAATGTCAGCAAAATTTAAAAATTTAGCAAAATATCATCGTTTAACTTACTTAAAGTCTTTAGATTTTCGGTACGCTAACTTCAAAAAACAATTCTCAAAAGATTTTTCATCAAAGTCAATCACTGATTCCCTTGATTTACATAAAAAACACTTCTTCGCCATTTTTATTTTTTTCACAAAACACGTGTTTATAAACGAACTGTTTGCTCAAAAACGCTTCTCAATAGCATATACTCAAATACTAAATTGTGTTCATAAAGTCATAATTGATGTGACAGCTCGATGTCACCTTGACATTGACGGAAAAGTTTTATTCACACAGCCACAATATAAGTATAAGTTTTTTTTGTTAGCGATAAGTAGGTAAGGCGTCGCCTGAGACCACCCCCTCCACTTTTTCAGACCCGCTAAGCCCCGCCCACTTTACCCCCTCCACTTTTTCCCGACCCGCTAAGCCCCGCCCACTTTGGACACGGACTCGCCCCCCATGGGGGCCCCTTTTAGGAAGCCCGGGGGCCCCTTCGAACGGGCCCATCGCCGAAAATCATGGGGGCCTCTATCTAAAATATCGGTCGTCTGAATAATAGATACCCAGTGGCCACACCGCTGAGCTCCAATGTTATCAGCTGACCTTGCGTAACATTGCATCATTTTATCCAACTGTTTTGGGGGTACGCGCAATAATAAAAATAACAACGCGGTGCCATAAGATTGCCAAAGGCCAAATTCACCTTTTCCCACCAAAGGTCGCCGTCAGTTGGCCGCTATCAGCCTCAGGGATTGAACCCGAGACCCTCTGCACCAGAGTCGAAAGCAAATCAAATCAAATCAAATCAAATCAAAAATATTTATTCAAGTTATTGTATAAAATGTAAATTGTAAAAATAATTCCAGGTATAATAAGAGGTGTATAAATAAAATGAACAAAACAAATGTGCCTGGCACGTAATGTTCATCATAAAGGAGGTTACTATATATACGCTGTAGCGCAATATAGCAACCCCCCTGGCCGATGTTTTGGCCTACCCAAAACCATGATACAATTTAAATTGTCTTGCAGCTCGCCATTCCCTTCGCTTATCCGATACAGGGGCCATATTGTTAAGATGTTTTGCGTGTAAAAATTGGAGACTGTCGAAAGCGCTGCCTGCTGAGCTACCGTTCGGAATTGATAACAGGCGCTTAGAGATGCTATAAAAAAATGATCGGTCGAAATATGAGTCATATGCAGATTATAAGTAACCCATGAAATTTTGCAGGAAACTCTTATCTGATAATGATGTCATTAGAGGATATTAGATATATTTAAAATTTATAAAAAGAGATAAATTTAACTAATGTATAAAAACTATAAAATACATAATATAAAATACTGTTTAAAATTGTTATTAAACTTTTGCGGTGCGCGCTGAAAAAACTATTTCCCAAAGTAATGTATGTCCTCCGGACGGGCCCATCGCCGAAAATCATGGGGGCTCTATCTAAAATATCGGTCGTCTGAATAATAGATACCCAGTGGCCACTCCGCTAGCGTTTAAACCGCGAGCTGGCCTTGCGTAACATTGCATCATTTTATCCAACAGTTTTGGGTGCGCGTAATAATAAAAATAACAACGCGGTACCACAAGATAATGATGACTCATCGCTGAAGGTATTATCAACTTTTAAAACAAATTTATTGCAATTAAATTAAAAGCTGAAAAATCAAGGCCAAATTCTGGTAACCTATTGTGTTGTCAGAAAATAAATATAACAAATATTTTCCGAAAAACAATGAAAAGTTTTGGTATGCTGCCTCATCTCTGATAAGCCGTTCAAGGCCAAATTGTGGTATTGTCTCCTTGAACGCCTATTTTAAGGTTACCCGAAAACCGTAAACTGCACTCCCTGTAAATTTAATTTAAATTATTAAGGTCAAATCCGATAATATGGTTGTTTAGCTATTATAAAAGATTTTCATCGTTATCGAAAGGGATTTGATAAATATATATAAATATGTAGATTAGTTAGGTAGAATTTAATTATGGTTGATATTATAAAAGACAATGTCAGAAAATAAATATTATTTTAAGTAGGTAATTGCAATAAAAATTGATAATGTATGAAATATAATTTACTTTTGCGGTTAATGTACGAACAAACAAAAAGAATTTGTAATATAAATTGGCGGTTAAATAAATTAAAATATTAAAATAGTATCGTATTTTTATCGCTTTTGCGGTCAAAGACGAACACTTTTAACACAGAGATATAGCCGGCCCACGGACGGAAGACTGATGAATTTTCGCTAATTAATTAAAAATTATTTTAAGAGGCGCGGCAGCAGCTGTGAATGATAAAATTATTACACAATATTTCGCCACAATAAATATATCGTGTCGTTTACCAATAAATAGGCATAAAAAACAATGATAAATTAAAAACCATATTTTGAATGCACTTAAAAATTCTATTAAGTAAAAAATACTTTTGAATATATTTGTAAAAACTGTAACATTGGAAATGCTTATCTAAAATTAAAAGCGATCTCTATATTCCTACTTAATGATAAATATTATTAAAAGGATTTGTTTACTTTAAGCACCTATATTAAAATAGGTGAAGTTCGAGAGCTAGGAATTTTGCTACTATTGGTTAAATAATTATAAATTTATTCTTAACGACAGAAACCACGAGAAGGTTGTAGCATTTTCTGTCTGGAGGGGACAAGGGTGTTGGGGTAAATAAAACAAATTAACCTTATCCACGTTTTATTCTAT